GTGGGGATGACATTCTCTTGTGGATTTCTACATCCTAAACAGGACCTCAAATATGCAGAGGAACCTGAAAAATTCAAAGTGCAAAATAGCAAAGTCCTTCCCTCTTCATACAGTGGAGTCCTTTGCCATAGAAACTCCTTTCAGCAAAGGGTATTTCCTGGCTGTTGTATCATTTAGACTTCAGTTGCAGATAACAAAATATTGGAGCTGTTTTAAACAGAATGGGATTTAACTTTAGATATTAGATCCTTAAAATCATTGATAGGGTTGGAGAAGTAGGCTCAAGCTGGACCTCAGAAAAGTCCCACAGAAATGGTTCCACAAGTGAGCTCTTAACCTCTGCCCCGTATGGAAATTGAGAAGCTGCTGGGTTAACTTCTGAGCCAGGATCACAGTACTTTAGCCGTGATCTTGAGATCAGGAAACCTCTAGCAGTGTCATTGGCTCTAGAACAATTTTGTGCCTCCTACTTCTGCTGCAGCAAAATGGATCCCTTGTGCACCATCCACTCTATGCCTGCTTAATTCACTTCTGAATTTGTCTTATACACATACATCCGATTGGCAGAAATAAATCCAAGGGGGTCTTGGAAATATAACGTTGGATTTCTAGCCTTTGTAGCATAAGCAAGTGAACTAGAGGGAAGTTGGAAAGGATACTGAGCAAGTCATAATTAGAGATGACAGAATCCATTTGAGTGAGCTATTATGAGGAGAAAGAAATTTATTAAAGGCTGTCAGAAGGCTAACAGACGTTAGGCAGGGATCCACGTTTCAATGCTTCACAGACAGGACTTGTGAAGCCAAGAGCAGTATCTAACCCCACAATGGCAGTGCTCTAGCAGGAGCCCCACTACAACATCTGCTACCTCTACTCAGCAATCTTGCATGATTCTGTTCTACCTTGACTCTGTCAGTAAGTGCCACGTATCTAAGGTCTAAGAACACTTGACTTTTCACCAATTTTTGTATTAGAGTACTTTTAATTATAAGTGAGAGAAACTCAACCTCATCTAGTTTAGAATAAAGGATAGATACTTTGGTTATATTAGTCAGGGTTCTTAGTTGGTAAGTACAGAATTCACTATAATTTAAACCGAAAGGCATATAGAATATTAAGTTCTCATAAAATCTCTGGGAAGGCAAGAGAACCAGCTTTGGATGCTGCACTTCCAGAAACAGTGGAAAGACCCATGCCCTCTGCTGCTTGGAATCCATGATGTCAAACATGGATGGCAGAAAAGTCAACACACATGCTCCAGAAGAACGTGGTATCCCAGCCATTGTTCTTGCCAAACTATCCAGTCTCCCTGCATGCAGCCTTACTCTGATGTCGCTGACTCCTATATCTAAATGTCATTCACATTTGTCAGCTTGGCTAAACCTGGCCTGTGTGTCTGCATCCTTGTTCAAGAGTATCTGGGGAAAATGTATTTAGAGCTTCAAGGAAGGTAAGCTGGAAGTAGGTTGGAAATGGGTGTACAGTTTCTGCCACCACCCACTTCTTTGACTACTTAACATCCATCCTTGCCGTCTCTACATGCTTCCTTTCCAGACATCAACTTTAAAACAATAGTAATTATCCCTGAATCATTAGAAAATATGGTACTATTTCCTTAAATGGAGAGGCTTAAATTTAATGTCACAGCATCCATCTCTGGTTGCTGTTTATTCCTCTTCTGGTTTTAGCCACAACCCTGTCTTTATAGCTTGTAACTTTTTCATTAAATTATAAAGGTAAAAACACCACCACCAACAGACCTTATATAAAAAATAGAAAGGGAATTGGGTGCAGAAGGAAAATAATTAACACTGAGCAAGGAAGAAAACACAGATAGCTTCGTTAGTCTTCCGTTCTCCCTTTGTGAAGCTCTTCCTGATGCCTTCATTGTCATTCAGGATAGAACAGCACCCACACACACACACACACTGTTCTCTCCTCCGTATCTTAGATGACCAGAGTTCTTAGACTGGTGGGGTGACCCAAACCTTCATTTTTGCAGGTTCTGGGCCCTGGGTTAGAAGCAGTGTTTTGTGGGAGTAAGTCATTCATAAGTCTGTGTGTGCTATTGCTAGTCAATAGCACAGAAAAGGCAAATCATATCTAGAATAATTGTCCATTCAGTGAAGACAGGTAACTGCTATTCCAGGATGCTGAGAGTCTAATCTAACTGACATGTTACCAGGAATGGTGCCATGTTGGAGGCCCAGTGTACTCTGTTCCTGGCAGATCAGACACTTGGAGTAATCAGATCAGAATGGGTGAGAGGACATCCCTGTGGTGGCATCCACATGTGTGCCCATTTTGGTTATGGGTCCTTTGAGCAGTCATTGGGTGGCTAGGG